GTTCTACTCATGTTTCCGTTGTGCCGCACGGAACGGGGGAGTCGGCATTTATGGACTCAGAAATGAGGAACGAGACAATGTTTCATCCAGCGCTCCAGACACCGTACGACCAATTCATGCCGTACAATTTAGACAGGGCATGGAACTGATCATAGAAATCAGCCATCATCAAGTAGCACGCAGATCCTGAAGACTTTGGACAGTATAATAGTAAACTCAGGCTTACCAATACGTTTGCTCATAACTTACTGCTGTGGCTATTTTCGAGAATGATGGTGTTGTTAGTAGGATAATGGAATGGCATGACGCGGTCTTACCGTTGTGCCAACAAGGCAAACCTTCCCCTCGGCCCGTCTGAACGACCTGTGAGAGCCGATCAAATATGTCTTATTTGGTGCATCTAGACTAGAATATCGAACATGAGGAGGGAAAGAAGGAAGTATGGGGGAGCGCGTGTAAACAACAAAGGTAAGCGAACGAAGCGAAACAAACAAAGCAAACAGAACTACGTCATGTGATCCAGTCATGTGCCTAAGAACACCGCTCTGTGGTAAAATCCTGAAAGGAGGAAACTAGTGACTATTTACAATTATTTCTATCAATAAAAAGCCGACTAACAAACACACTGGCAGGAAGCTGTGAAGAAAGGCAGCTTTATCTGATAATATGTATCATTACTATGATTTCACCTCGGTGTAAAATTGCCCGGTATGTTGAATCGCATTGGTAAAGCAATTAAGTAAGTAATTATCGGATTGTTTCAAGGATTGGAAAGTTAGCAAAGTTTAGTGACTTCTGAATAAGCAGGGGTTTGAAACGGGTAAAACTAATTCTATAAGTAACAGGAAATGATGAACTGTACAGATGATTAATAAATTTAGATAATACTGTATTCATGATGTACTTGGCAAAGAGCCTGCTCTATACATCTCTTTTCGCTACTGAGACTGTGGCCAGAGTCAGCTCGGCTAGAAGGCGCAGTATTGCACAGTCATTTAGTCTCTATCAGAATACCAGCTCTTCTTCCACGCCTCTGCAAGTCGGCAATGGTAATTTTGTCTTTGGCGCTGATGTTACTGGGCTACAGATATTTTCTTCTTTTGCTATCCAAAGCACATGGGATTAGCATAATTTCAGCTAGCTAATAACTGCCAACCAGACCTCCCCTGCTGGTGAGACTACTATTTTGCATGAACAACCATATGTAATACTGACTGTGAATATGACTTCAGACTTACTGGTCTTGAATACTGGACGCATGGGCGACATGTGGAATATAATATATAAGATTTAGCAGAAGGAGAGATTTCTAATTAGTCGGTCATGAATCTGCAAAGACTCAATCTCGCCAACATCGGTCTTTATTTTTATGGGGACGATATTTCTGAAGACGCTCTTCTTAATAAGTTGCAAGATCTGGATCTCTGGACCGAAGAAGTCTTATCAGAATTCATGTATGATAGGTTTCCGGTATCTGTACAGCTTATATCTCATCCTGAAGACCCTTTTCTTGGAATCCAAATTAACTCGACTCTATTGAAGACAGGGAAGTTGGGAATCTTTTTAGACTTTCTCTACGTTGATCTTAGCAAATTTGATGCACCATATGTTGGGGTGTGGAATGTGACAATGAACAATACTGTCAAGAGTTACTTATCCCATAATACCGTCATATTCAACTATACCATTAATAGTAACGTCAATCAAATTGCAGCTAGGTGGAGTACAAACGCTTCTACCCCTGGTCCCTTGGCTGGTTTGAATAAATTTATTCTCAACCACTCTGGCTCTGATCTTCTACAGCTAGTGGTGGTTTTCCCTGATACATATTCCACCTCGGCAAAAGAGCTGTCCGATGGGTTTCCATCATATAGCGAGCTTTCTACTAATCTAAAGACTGGTGGTCAACCTACTGGACAGCCGGTGCTTTTATTGATCTCTCCGCAACCAAAAATGCAAGCGCACAGGAACTCCAGTGCTGCATTATTCTTTTCCAATATCTAGTTGCTGTGAATAAAGCATCAAACAATCCCCTACAAAGTATAGTTTGTACTTTTAGATATCGCGCTCCTGCAGGCTGAAGCTTGCCATTATGGTATGCTGTCACACAATCTGGTACGCAATGATAATCTTACAGTGTTTCCGGACCATACCGCTAATGGCATTATTATTAGGACTCGTGAATAACGAGTGATATCGTAAATTCCATATAAGTCTTATTTATAACGGTTACAGATTATTTACTCTGCTTTCTCCTTATTCTTGATACATTATGAACCTAACTTATGGCTTCACCAGCTCGAGATAACTTTGTGGCATTGCTTGCACTTTGCTCGCTGGGGTCAGTATGATCTTCTTTCTTGAACTATCTCTAACACATATCATCGCTTTCTTCAGTCTAGCGTTGATCGGTCTGCTCAACAAGAATATAAAGAAGCACGCTGGGGAAAAATGACAGAACAAGCAGACGAAGTGCTCCAGATGATATTAACACTCTTCTGATCTGGCAGTAATCTCATGTTATATATTTAGCCGAATACTTTTAACGTGCTTTTCCTGAAGAAGGTACCTTGCAAGAGTGGAACAAGGTTATAACTGCTATCACTGACTTTATGGTATTATACGCCTGGTGGAACGCTTCAACTGAAGTCTATGATTTAGATCCCTCTTTATCCCATGTCATTGAGAACATGAATCTTATTGTCATGATTAATCCGGCGTTTGAATTAGCATACTGGCGCTTTGGGTTAGATATCGCCGTTCGGTGGAAAGAGTGACAGTCACTATCTGTTCCTGGAATTTGAATGACCCTTCGAGATAACCTTGCACCGCTCCCGGTCGTAGATGATGTGTATGCAGTTTATGAAGGAATCCCCAACATGTGGGAAAACGGAACTACTACCGTGCAAGACCATCCTGCTATAGCTGGTATTTATGGACTCTTTCCACCCCCCTCTGCCAGCACTCCTCTCTCTGTGAATATGACTGTGAATAGACATATTTCAAAGCTTATTAGAGAGCTTTGGCATTTTGAGGACTTGTATGGATGGAATTTTTCCATGTTGGCAATGAATAGCCTGTGCTTGGGTGACATGGACCAGGCTGTTACATATCTGCTGGATTTATATTACCAATTGGACGACGCAGGGTACCCGGAAGGTGGCAGCTGTGTGCCTATGCCATATATGCCCGACGCATGTAGCCTGTTACTTGCAACTGCAATGATGGCAGGAGGGTGGGATGGAAAGGAGGGTCCCCATTTTCCGAAAGACTGGAATATGGAAGTCGAAGGTTTTTTACCAAGCTTATAGATTGAAAGAGTCAATAATTATAGCTCCGTTAGCCAAATGGCAACTTTGCCAGATGATTAATGGCTTTATAGTTGATGTTCATAATATTTATCTTTTAATGGCAGTCTTTTAGCAGTTTATAGCAAAACGGCCTACGCATTGACACCTATTCCTGTTCATGATATTGCGGCTTTTTATTTTCTAATTGTGTCAACTCTAAGGATAGATATACACAGCAGTATTACAGCGCATATTAAGTGCTAGAGTGTCTGCATGGGAGGAATTCCTTTTCCTTTTCCTTATGATACCACTTTTACTAACCACTTTCTTGTGATCCTAAAATGACCCGCTGGTATTTCTATTCATCGATGTCTATTCTTTATATTCATTGCAATGTAACAGTATTGGTAGATGGAGGAGAAAAGTGGACTTGCATCCTTGTAAATAATCTGTAGCTGCAGTAAATTACCATCCCTCTTTTTAGAGCTTAATCCGATTTCACCGACTACGCGTAAACCAAGAAACCGGAAGCCTGAATATGTTTGATTGGTGATCTTAATTTATAATTGCCCGCTGCAAGTAAAGTTAAAATTATAAACAGATTAGAAGTCTCGCCTGCGGATAAACTGTAGAACACTAACTTTGAAGAGAAATGGTATGCTGCCGAGTCATGTGGGAGTAGGATCTGCCTCTGGGCTTGAGCAGCGCCGACAGGGCATGTGAGGATGGTAAAAGGCGGGTGGTTGAAAAGTGGATGTGTTTGCGGTACCGCCACTAGCAGTAATAAATCCTAATTAGTCATGCCGTGAATCCTTTCGTGATGAGGGCGGGTTAAGGTTCAGTACTGGTCTATAATATGACCCTGTACTATATACCAACACGACCTGACTCAGTACATTGAATTCTTAGTGATCGAAGATAAGTACAAGGTGCGGGATTGACTCACTCTTGACTTGTATGGCTCGTAACGAGGGCGAAAGCTTCGAACACGAATCATTACTGAGGAAACGTGCTCCGAGCTGAATCAAAAGCTGATTGGCTTATTGGCATACAGATGGTTGTGGATTGTATATTAATGAGGTTAGTGAGCCAAACCTGACAAGACAGTTGTCGTTAGCGTTGGCGTCTGGTGGGAGTTTATTATACAGGCAAGATTCAAACATAGTATAAAAGGCTTCTTCGTGTGGTAATCTCCTGCCGATCTTGTTTAAATGTGTGTTTACATGCAATCTAGTGGGAACCATTAAATATTGCTACAGAAGTGAGTACTAGTCTCTGAAACCGGAAAAAACCATAGGATAATTCGAGATTATCCAAATCTACCGCGTTGACCAAAGACTATTGTTAGTATTTTTAAAATTATTTTTTGATACTCCCCCGGATATCGTACTTTTTGCAATTAGGATCATACCGACAGAATCTACAGAACTGCCGATACTCTGGCAAATATTAACGGACTGGGTCCATTTGTTGATGACTTGTCTCGAATGCTACTTGCTATTCCTTAATTTTATCAGGGTTGTACTGTTGACGAGCTCGTAAATAAAATATGCCTAGATTACGCACTATTAATTGATGTGGACGAGGCTGGAAGCCTTCATCTATTTATAACACTGGCTTAAATGAAAGGGGGGCTTGCATGAGCTTCGTTGCTCAGAAAGACCATGGACGGTCTACTAAAATTCCTGCTATATTCTCTATAAATTGATTATGGAATATCGAGGCTATATCTATCAACAGCCTCATCAGTAGCCGGAAGCTGCAGCTGCACGGATTTGGCATCATGAGTGTTTTCCTCAGAAACTGTTTCTGACCTTCGTACTGTGCGGGATTATCTGTCTTATATACTTATATATTAAGCGAGCCGATACCTCCCGAACAAGCCCTCCTACTGGGTGCCTTGTCGTCGAACAAGGTGAACACTTACTTTAAATCTAATCAGCAAAGTTGCTGACCATCATCCTACAGACACCACAACAGACAGATAATATTCCAGTATTGGGTCGGCCGTATTTTCATTATCTGATACCGCCAGTGCTTGTATCTTCATCTACAGTGGAATGTATTATAAGAATATTACCGTCGAATTTGAAGGCCCGCTGATCTTATATAAATATACTGAAGAGTAATGCTCTCCTCCCCTTTTCCATGATCATGTGTGCACTTCCCCTTTTCGTCCACAGCGAGAGGAACAACTAACCATCTTCCATCTTCCCCAGTGTCATGATATATAAATATAACACAGTGACCATCGCCTTTAACATAACCTCCCCGGTCGCCGGCACTCTGGACCTCAGCAGTGTGGTGAATGTCCGCAGTGGAAACCCCAGCATGTATAACATCGATATCAAGAATACTATTGGTGAGGGTGCCCAGGTACATATACACCTGTGATACTTAACTATTCAGGTATTTCCTATACTAGAAGCACTATATCTAAAAAAGAATTGCGTAGGCTGTAGCCTTGACGGTGGACGGAGACAGACAGTCTTATTATGGCTGTGGGTTTTATGGTTATCAGAATATGTGAGTCCAGCCTGGTTAGGCACGCCTCTCACACAGATGATACATGATTATTAATCCACGGAAATGTACGAATAGTATATACGCCAAGACGGGAGATTAGTACTACTCTCACTGCTACTTCAAAGATGAGATACTCGTAACCCTACGATTCTTACTCATTAACAGGATTCTAACTTTTCAATTAGTCAAGGACGGTGGACTACATATTTGGCAAGGCTGCAGCCTGGTTCGAGCAATGCCGGATCATATCTAACGGCGGCGGAGCTATCACCGCAAATAACAGAGCAACTGACACAGACACAAGCTGGTATATTTTCAATAACTCTACGGTACGTCTATCAGTTTCGAAGACAGGACGATGAAGCAGACCGGGGGTGGAGTCTAATATTGTTTGCAGAGATACAGCAGTAATGGGATACAACCTCACTGGGAACGTCTATCTCGGTCAACCTTGGGATATTAAGACCCGAGTGATGTACCAGTACAGAGATCTTTCTGGTATTATCAACGCCGAGGGATGGACCACGATTGCGAGCAACGCTACACCATAAGCCCTTACCTCCACCCTAGTTTCCAGCTTATAACTTACCAATATCGCAGAATCTTCGAAGAGTATGAAAACTCAGAAGCAGTATCCTCGACAGTAGATCATCTCTATAAAACAGTTGCCACCGCAGCGGTCACCAAGGGTCAGCTCTGGCCAAGCGGATCGCACTGGATAAACAGCGCCTATTTAGCTTGAACCAGAAACACACGGGTAATTTGACTTGGGTAGACTTAGGTCGCAGTCAAGCATTGGCAAATGCCGTTCAGTAAATACTGTTATGATCCTCCCTCGTATAATAACTATCTTGGCAAAGGCTGCCTCATCATTGCATCTCTAAAATATAACTACGGACCCCCCTGGATGTACGAGATAGCCCTAAATAAGAAACTCTAAACCACTGCTAACTTCTTTTCATCCGGGAGTCCGGCGAGAACGTGGTTAGCCATATAGCCAAAGGCAAGGTAATCATATCGGGGGTTTAGCAATAAAGTATTAAACTACCGACGGAGTGGAAGTCGGACGCTAGCAACCATGTCAGACTGGCCGCTAATTAGTCCCTTCAATTCCAGAAATTCCTCGCGGCCACTAGATCATCTGTTCAGAGATCTAGGCCTGTTCCAAGGTCGGAAGCTGTGTTCATATAGTAATTGGCGTTGAGCTGAGCGATGATTATAACAATCCCACCTGCCTTTCCAGCCGCATATCGCCTTATGAAGAATGTCAATAATCTGCTTATTGACTGGCCACGTCCTACAATCCGTCAGTGTCAGCACTAGGCATACCTTTGCCTGAACATGACTGTGTGAGCCCACTAAAGAAGCGCACCGACGACCGTCGCATTCTCCAGGCTCGGGTCGATGATCAGCCGTACTGATATGAACATAAAATCTGAAAAAGGCCCACGCATCCCGTTTGCGCCCATGAGGGCTCTGCTGATAGCTGCAGCTACTCCCTGGCCATAGTGCATTGCCACGTTCAGTCCGAAGGGCTCAGAATCGGGCCTCGCAGGCAGCGACAGCAGGCGCTCCAGCGTATGCCCTGGGCTATATGAGCTCGGTCTGCCAGTGAAAAATATTGCTTAGCGTTGTCTCCAACTATCATTCTGACGGGGATTAGCTGAGAACTGAGTAAGAGAATTGAAGGGGGCTTCAGGCAGCAACACCGAGCAGCCCCACTCCGCAGCCATAGATGATGCAGCTGTCTAGTCAAACTTGCTGTAATGGCTGTTTGGGAACGGTTGTGCGACGAGACATACTTTGTGTATAGATAGGTGTCTGGGAAGAGGAGTACACTAAGACAGAAGTCTGAGACAGAACTTTTGTCCAATTACATGCAGCGTATGGGTTTTATAATTCAGCGGATGTCGTGGCGACGACGTACGTACAAGGTCAATCATAACATTCACAGATATCCCAACTACATTTAGGAAAGAAAGAAGAAAAGAAAATAGAAACAAATCTTTAGTGAGAAATGAATCCCCCCAACCGCATACAGGCCGACTGATCACCGTTTCCGCTTTTTATGACTATGCTTTGGGTGAAAATCCTGCCCATACACCTTGAAGAAATCTGGCGGCTCCTGGGGGTGTCCGCCAGTAATGTCGTGAAAGGCAGTGGTAGAGATATAGTTCGTCTTACCTTCACGCACTAGAGAGTAATACTCTAGTAAATATTGTATCTCGGACTCGTCACTTTCAGCCTGAGCATGCAGGACCTTTTTGGCTTCCGCCCTATATATTATACCGCTCAGCATAGTATCTCCCACAGAGAAAAGGGTCACATACTCAGAGATATCTTCGAATTGGAGGTCCTCTCCTATTGACTTACTAGCAGCTGTGGCAAGCTCACCACCGGTAGCAAGCATCGGTCCTATATAATATAAGTATATAGCCTTTTATTTTGTAGGGTTCTGACTCACCAGTCAGAACTATAAGCTGCCCTCTGTGTTTATCGCTAAATCCATGTTTTCCTTCACCTGTTAGAACATGAGCGACAACTTGTGCAACATCCTGTATAAAATTCAGTGTCAGTTTTATACACGGCTGGAGAGGTAGCTTACACCAAGAGCGATCGGCGCAAACTTGTGGTTAGTGCCGATGGGAAGGGGAAGTAAGCCCTCTTCCTGCGCCTGCTTGGAGTAGAGGAGGAGGTTCTCCGCGTAAAAGCCGGGCCTAGCAAGATTAGATGATTCCAATTGCACCCCCACGTGAAGAATGGGTATTAAATGATCGTGAAAGAAGACTTACCGCACAATAACGGGAGAATGACCTGTCGAGGTCGACGGGTCCCCCTTTGAGGACATGAACATAGCTTCCAAGTCTATAAACTCACGTAGACGGGGTTGCCTATCTCGCTCTGCTAGATCGCAGCCAGCCGAGCTAAGAAAGCAAACATTCGGAATATTAGCTTTCTTAGCTGCTTCAATTAACTCAACCGTGATATTAAATTTATCTTGATGTGCCGGTGGAATTAAGCACATCGTATCTGCTCCTATACTCTTTAGAGTAGAAACAGTATCCCTAAGCCGGCCAGGCTTGTGCGAAACAATCTTCGCACCAAGCTTGGTGAGCTCTTTGCAAGAATCGGCATTAGGATGGAGGGACAGGCATGTAACAGAGCCGAGCTTATTGGCGAAGTTAGGGTCTGTTAGACACAGTTCGGCGATTAGAAAGCCGGTGTGGCCGTCCGCCGAGGTAATGCAAAGTGAACGAGACATTTTCAATTCAATCAGTGTTGCTGAGATGCTTTGGCACGTCCGGGCTGGAATTGGGGTACTATATATTAAGCACGTGGTGGCCGGCGATAATGACATCGGACTACTTACTGTCAGCTGGTGAAGTAACACACCCGTCATTGCGGTGACGTCCAATTGTAGCAATTCGCGAATACGATATTTTGTCTTTTAAAGCTATTAGAAACAACCGGCAAGGAGCTTGGCGGAGGACCTTAAGCCTAGAATTAGACATGAGCTAGGTATGACGGGTGCGGCTTGCGTACGGTCTCCCCGACCGCATGCGGCGTCCTGTCATTTCTACGTACTTGTGGCAACCGACGTTTCTCGACATGTGCGGTTCCTTGATCTTTCATAAACCTCGGATCGATGAAACTGGGCGTCTACCTAACTAGTTGTGGGTATCTCTTGAGTCAGCATTGTTGCGGGAAATATGTCTCGTCCCCATAAAACTAGAAGCAGTAACCTTATCATATTTACAGTGCAGTGTGGGTGTTGACTATATTGCCTATAATTAGTAATTAGTCTCTAAGGATATCTAGGCTAGTTGAAAATAGCTAGAGAGCAGCGAGCCGAGCCGAACATCGTTTCCAGCAATAATATCCCTGACAGTTTCTATTCATCCATAGTAGGTCGCCTTGTAACCGGACCATGAACTCTTGTGCACATCATCTTCCTCCTGCCTGCATACCAGCTGAAGATAAATGTGTGTATCTGGTGCAAGTTTGAACACTGAAAAGTCATACTGATACCAAGATTATGTCGCAGTACAGCAACGGTCAGACTCTTCGGTACAAACCTGTCGGAGGTAAGCAGACTTACCTTGCAAGGTAACATTGGTTCTTGCCCCAAGCCTTGATAATATCGATGATCAATACCTATTCCTACCAGATTCGCGCACCTTTGAGAGCTTTGGGACTAATAGATCGGTCCTGACAGAGCCTGGAAGCCACGCCGATCGCCACATCGATGCTAGTGAGGATCAACCGCACCACCAGGTTGGCAATTAAAGCACAGACCGAGTGACCACGACTTACCAGTGGAATATTCTGGGTTCAGCATGATTTGCTCATATTCTCATGTATCCCGAGTTGAAGATAGACATAGTTGGCATGCTGTTTGGTACCACCGATTTCCATTCCTACTAATTATACCAGAAGGTGTATATACGAGGTATATAGTTTGAGACGAGGCAATCTATCGGCCAAGCAAACACTGTTGTTACTGGTTTGAAGCTTGACAAATGGACTTTTCAGAGTTATGTCTACATAGCCTCCTACAGAAGAAGACTAATCAGAAACTAAGGCTAAAGAGAGCACCGAATCACTTCGTACTTGGTCTGATTCATTAGGTCTTTCATACTTGTCATACGGATTGGTTTTGATTTGATACATGAAAATTGGGCCAAACCAAAAGAAGATTGTAACTCTCAACGCATAAGTAAACCTGAGTCGATAGGCTTCGAGCGCTGTATCGTCTAAGCCCCTGAATTACTGCCGATATCCGCGTTGCTCACTGTCAGGACTCTATTCCCAAACGGTATTGCGAACAAAAAGATTGCAGCCACCGAGGGGAAAAGACATAGCGCATTTTCCACAACCTTATTGATGCTTGTTCCCAATACCCGATAGCCCAGGATAATCCTCTGCTCATTTTAATTTAATGATAGTGTATTGAATAGTTATTTCTGTCTCGGCCCTTTTAAAACGTCTGTAAACAGATATAGACATATTCTATGATACTTTGTTTCATATAGCATAGTAGTCGTAGACGTACTGATTTCAGATAGGGGCTACCTTTGTCACTTCTGTTGGATAAGTAGTACTTCCGGCCCAATCCCTCACATGGTCCGCAGGCCTTCTTTTCTGACAAGTAGATCCTATCACACGAAAATAATCAAGGAGTGAAACTGGTGACATCTATATCTGGACGTCGTGTGTGCAAGTAAACTGGCATTTTGGAAGTCTCCCCCTTTTCTTTTTCCTTTGTCTACTTTTGGCTTTCTTCATTCTTGTTCCTGACTGATGGAATAGTTTTAGTATCTATCCTGATGGCATAAATTATTCATCATGGAGGATTTCTCCTCTGTTGTCATAAGAATCTATATTGGATTATTTATATTCAATGCAATGCAGACCCAAACAAAAGAAAGAAGAAGGGAGGTGGTAAGAAGAAAGGTGGAGCGAAAAGAAACCACAGACACGGCAATAATTTCGGCTAGAACCAACTCGCTTATGGATGAGCCTGTGGGTCCATTTCCACTAGTTGCACGAAACTGCTTCTTTGAGGTTTCTTTTTACCCCCATAGTCGACGGAGTACGAGACTGTTTTATTAATATGGCTCTTGCTCAACGGTTGCTGGGACCCGAACACAGCCCCTCCGCTAGGCGTGTTCCGTTTGCCATAGGACGAATGGTCGCTGGTATTCCCCAGGACTTTCGGGAAGAGATGCACGAGCATGGCACGAAACGTGGGCAGACAGGCGCACATGACCGCGATTTGGGTCTCCAGGACCGACCAATGAACGATGGGTTGTAGTTGTTCTGTGATTCTGGGTTAGTAGGTATTCGTCAGGGGCGGGGAGCCAGACGAACCAGTGAGGTTGGTGTTCCAACGGTTGTACCAGAAAACAACCACACGAATGATTGCAACTGCAGTCAATCTGGGAAGGGTTAGCGGAGGTGGCGACAGCAGAGAAGACGATATGTACACTAGACCCATGGCGAACATGACACTGACTCCAACCTTTTTGCGAGCAGACAAGTTGAGCTTGGTCACTTCGTAAACCGGCATGAGCACCATGATAATATCGACAGCGATGTTGACGAAAGCATTGGCGAAAGTGACAGCAATGAAGTCGACGCATCTCCCGGTTTCGAGCCCTTCCCACTGCGTCCAGGCCAAGTGGACGGGAATACATCGAAAGGAATCGGTAAGGACCCACGTAATTCCAATAGCAGCATTTAAACCGATGACTGCATATGTGGTATAGCGGAATAAAGTTGACTGAAAGATCCTCAACAAGAACAGACACACTGAAATTTTGGCAAGGGAAACCTGTGTTTTATACATCACAACGAACCCCTGAAAGCACTGGAAAACAATTAGAATGTAACCGTGTCATTGACGACTGCACACGCACTTTGAATATCAATGTGATGTTGTCCATTGGGTCAATATCCCACATGTTTTCGCCAAAACCCAATTCAATCACTGAAGGATGGTTAGACGGTCTCCCAGTCTTTATACAACCAAACTTACTCTTGACATTGACGGCAAAGATGCCCACTGCAAGGGCCTATGTTCAGTGTTAGTAAGTATTTGGGGCATGTATAACGTTATACATACCCACGCTATAGCAATTGTAACATCATCTGCGCCCCAACCACCCCCAAGACCCATGATTTTCGCAAGGACTCGGTTAAAGAAGAGAATCGTCGAAATGGCTAGCGGAACAATGGTAGCGGCCTCCACGGCGGGGCGTCCTTTATGAACGGGAATTCCGCATTGTCGGCTATTTAATCGTTTGGTGACTGCAAGTTGTTAGATGGCAGCAGATCGAAGCTTGCGATGAGACATACGGAGCTGTTCTCTGCCTGTACACTTTGCAGTAACGCACGTCGTCATGTCATCCTGAAATCCATCATCGTTACACAGGCATGTTGTATCGGTGGTTGCGCATGAGGTTGAGTTGGCCGCTAGAACTTGCGTCTGACAAGTTACCTATTGTAAGGGTCAGCGAGGGTATGACGGTCCGATGGCATCCGAGCATACCGCGCATTGAGGTAGAGTGGAATTCGCCGCTGAGGCCCCAGCGGCCAGAGACACTGAGATCCCAATCAGTATCTGTTGCAGGCGCATAATGGCCAAGAGGCCCCTCCAAGTACAGAGATCGCAGGGTCCAAGAGGAGGTTAGGGAAGAGTCACCACGATAGCGGAGTGGAGGGAACTGCCATCTTATATGGAGTCTAGACCACGGGACGCAGTTGGAGAGCTTTAATGCCGTGATCCACAGGACAAGAGCAATGATCCTCACTGCACTTACCCCAAACAGCCTTATGGCCCGTTCTTCAAGAGCTAAAGTTGGCTAAACAAGTAGATCCTTATCTAGTATCCCATTCAACCCGGGAGAGGCCCTTTCTAGGGGTTTAGGTTTGGGGCATTATTAGGTATTCGGGGTACGGACCGGTATTGGGCTGCTACAGTAGCTCACTCTGAGAAGGTTCCAAGCTCCATGATTCGCGAGTACAACCCGACGGGGATCTTGTCCGATTTCCCGAAACACTAGATCGGCAGTCTTGCGTGGGTGGTGTTTTTAGGTGTAGTGCGACTGCCGGTCCAGGGGTTCTGAAGTGGGTCCCATTTACAGAGAGTCTCGTGTTGGTTGCTAAAAACGATGGTGTTGCTGGATCTCGGCATAGACGATCGTTCGAGATAATTTTGGTTCCCGAGCGGGAAGCAATTTAATTCATATTCATAGAGGGTATAAGAAGGAATGGATAACTGTATAAAGTACTGAATAAGCTCATAACATACGAAATGGTTAAGTTTAACATTAGTCTCAATTTAATTCACGTCAAAACTGACCTTTTTTTGTGTTTGACATTTCTCTTGTTGGCCTCCACTGTCCACACCTTCAACCGCCACTCTATTTTTCGTCTTGTCCCCACCTCTCTGGTCTAATCCAGGCATATACCGCTGAAAGGTATTTAGGCAGATTGCTCATAATTGCCTGGATTATTGCTCCCATTGAACAACTCTAATTTGTAGGTGATTGGGGGACTATTCATAACATCCTATAGCCTCACCAGTTTTTATTCAGGCAGGCAAGATCCGCTCCGTGGGCGGCTGTCTCCCTGCTTGCCAGGCGGGTGGGTGCCGTGGTGGCTTGTAGCCATTTCCGCCAGCGCCTCGTTTAGGAGGCGGGAGATACCGACCAACGACCACTATTACCAGTTCGGCTATTTATCTTCGTTTCCCCACTATTTTCCTTCTTTGCTCGCCGGACTTCCAATTTTCGCCATTTTCTTTTCCTGTCGCCAAGAGCTCGCCTGTCACGTCTCCTATAGAGGACAAGGGGTGGATCATCAAAATTAGACTTTGTACACGGCATTTAGTGTATTTACCAATGTCTTCTGAACCCCTAAACATAGACTGGGCCTTTCTCTATTTCCTCGATTGATTCATCTCCAAGCGCGAGGCTTGGAACTATAGAAAGGAATCAAAAAAGGAAAAGAAAGAAAAAAAGAAAGAAAAAAGAAAAAAGATTACCGAGCAATAGTTTCGATCAGCCCTCCGTAATCGGTCAGAACCCCTGACACCGCACATGCTAGTCCCGGACTGCCATGTGGTGCACGAACCTTTGGGTACAAGCATCATTGGTTCAGACGGAAGAGGAAAAGAAGATTAAGGCAAGGGGGAAGGATTCACAATACAAGAACAGCACTTTTATTTTCCTCTAACTCCGTGATCCGTACGTCTCTATTTCCTGTCAGTGCTTTGACCGCTGGGCTACAGCCTGTCAGAGGGTAGCCACGGTTTTCTAAAATGCCCCGCCTCTGGACAGTGGGGTCTTCCAAAGTGGAAACTATGCTTTTGAAATTACTGCTTATTTGTTGGTTTGATTGTTTTTATTACCTCATGTTTTCGTCTGGCAGCCTTTAGTCTACCTTGCCGCGTGATTCTGAGTCTTGTGGTCGAAAAACTTTGCATTTCACCACGTAACTTCATATCGTCTTTTCCGACATGCGTCTGGAATATACTTAACGTTCGCTAAGCTTCTTACACAATAACTTTAACCCTGCCTGCAGGATCGGGATTTTAAGTAAGTCGAATTCGGTCGGGGATTATGTTGGCCAAATCCCTGATATTAATACTTGATGGAGCTCGCACGTGGAATCAATTAACCCCTATCGATGCGGAACTCTGTCAGCGGCCAGTGGGCTGTGTAGCGATCAACAGTCAAATCTGTGTGCAGGAGCCCCTCCCCACTTAGATAACCTAAGGCAAGTAGAAACAACAGCTTATTCTGAATGAGCAAGCTCAAAGCTCTATCTCAATTGGCTTTTGTCTTGAGCCAGCGCCTCCAATCTTGGAGTGAGACATGGTCTGCCGCAGCTTTCGATGACTAAGTAGCCATTCTTGCTCGGGTAACTTGCGATTAGTAAGTATGCCATTCGAGCTTATCGAGGCACGCATTCGGTTCGCTTGTCGATGTTATCCAGCGCACGTGGGATGAAATGCAGAGAAGATGTTTTCTGCCGTCGCAGCCTGGTAGAATGTTAGCCTGCAAATTTGCGCTTTTTACAGCATATTTCATAGTAATTAATCTTAAATTGCTGCTTGACGTCGAATGACAGTAAGGTTAACCTCTTCATCCCTCTAACCCGAGCACCCAGCAGACCTCGGCCCGAATCACCTCTGGTGTCACATACTGTAGATTGTGCGTTTGGGCCTTGCCTTCCACATAGATGAATCGGCTCTGCATAGACAATCCTTCATCAGCTTGCATCATGTCCTTCAAACGTACAGCCAACCTCTGTCTCGCCTCCTCAGTACCGGGGAGCAGTGGCGTTCTACTTCGGGCGGAGTCCACTAAAACCATGCCAACAACCCCCTGACGAGCACCCCTCCATAAGAATGGCTGACCAGAACGTATGGCGGTTCAATTTCAGCAGCCTCCAGCATAGTCGCCAATTCTAAGTTGCGATTCTTGGCACTGTATTGTTTGTTTGGGGAGGGCTCGCTGCGTCCATCCTCGGCTCGGTCATAGCTGTAGACGCGGGCCCGCTGAGCGATCAGCCGGCTGACAGCGACCCATTCGCTGAGGCCACTGCAGAGCCGAGTTTCAATGATCACAGCGGGCTGCAGGCGGCCCCTAATGATCAATCGTTGGGGCCCATCGGCAGCAAGGTAGACACAGTGGGTGCCGAGGGAGACGATGCCAGCTTGTTTGCCTGATTGCCAGCAAGATAAGGATATAGACATTTCGATAGGCTGCCAGAGAGTGCAGGTTCGAGGTTACTGAATCACGAAATGGGAGTCCCGAGACAGCTGCGGGGTATTTATCTGGAGGCTCGGTGGGCCTCTTATCTTTCTTATTGCTCTTATCTTTCTCTGTGGTATGGCCTGCCAGTAGTTTATGGATTCTATTCGCGAGTCTCCCTTTTTGCATTACTGTATCTGCTTGGGCAGCTAAATCGCACTAAAAACTACTATAGCTGTCTCTGGCACCATTAAGCTTACAAGACTTGGACTTGAGATTACCCGATCTGAATACCCTCACTTCACTCCATTTCTTAATGCAAAACTTATCGTACTCCAATATCCTGCAATAAATACACTTTCTACATCCACTCAGCATGTTTGTCTCCTCCCTATATGTCATGATAACGACCGCGGGCAGGACCTATCGGCAAGGGGGGAGTATACGTCAAAAAAGGGGTATGACCATCTTTAGTAGGGTCCCAAAGCCCATTCATTCTCCTCACGGTGGTGTCATCTCTACCATCGTAATGGCGCTAGGGCGAGGAACGGCTGCCGTCTCTTCGGTCGGCACAAGTATCCCGTTAGCATCGACTGCCCAGACCTGCACTTCGTTGCTCACAGAAACCGCGATGTAGAAAAAGCGGCCGTCGGGACTAAATGTGCACCCCTTGGGCGAGATCCCGTTGATAGTGGCAGTCTGGATGCGGCGTAGGCGACCGGACACCTCGTCTACGGCAAAAGCACTGACAACGTTATGGCCGCGAACGAGTGTGTAGACATATTTTCCGGTAGGATGGACACGGAGATCCGACAGCAAGACACCGGAACCCCCGTTCAGGTTCTCTGGAAGAACGTCCACTGTTCCTAAAGATTCATAGTCACCGCCCACCCTGTAGAGGAATGCCTCAATTACTGGTCGATACTCAAAATTGACGTAGAAGACGGGCAGCGTGGGGTGGAAGGCTGAGTACCGTGGGCCACTGCCTTGCGGGACGTCGCGAATACCCTGCAGGTGTAGTGAATGTGAGCCATAATCAATTGTCATCGTAACGAGCTGGTCTTTCTCCATGTCACACTCGATGAGAAAGGATCCATCGGGTGATAGTGAGACAGAGTGCAGGCATGAGGGCTTGCTCTGATGACCCGAGGTTGCATGGACGTGGACATGGGATGGCTGATCCGAGCAACCGGTAGCATCGAGAGTGAATAGGACTGTTGTGGCATCGTCGTAACGGCGCTCGATGTGATACCCTGACTGGGCATCACCGGCGATGGTGGTGATGCTGGTCCGACTCGTGAAATGGGAAACAATTACCATATCTTTGGTATCGACGAGCGCGATTCCCGATGGTTGGGTGCCATAGCTGGGCCAGTGACCTCGCTCAGTCAAGCCGCCTGTTAATGGGTCCATTAAGAAGGCATAAATCTGGCCACCATTCGGTACTTCGTCCGTGACGTACAGCATGCGACGTTTGTAATCAATGGCGAAATTGCCAACGTTCAGCCCGGGGACGTATGATGCCACGGGTGTAAGTGCTCCCGTGCCATTGTCAACTCGAAAAACATGTAGGCCCTCATGCTTTCCTGGTTGAGGCATCACGAAACTGCCGACGTACACATAGGTTGCGGTTGAAGACACTGTGTCCATTTTGGAAGTCCTAGGAGAACGTAAGTCCAAGACCCCTGGACCGCGTGACGCAGCTTGGATTGTTTTAATACTTACAAAAAGAAAAAAGAAAAAAAAGAAAAAGAAAATATCTGGAAAGACCGATCGGCACCTGACACCACGACTACTCAGGGTAGGCGAGACGAGCGAGGAATGCCTTTCCTAGTGTCGGCTACCGGACAAGCTCGCCGCAGATTCTGGCCTTTAGCGAGCCTCACCTGGCGACACATCCATGGAAGACAAACACCATGGGCAACAGTCTGCGTGCAGCTGCAGGCCTGGTATCCCACTAGCCATGTCAAGCAGTACATCCTTCAGCACAAATTAGGAACTATGGGTTATAACTACCCCGCGAATTCCCCACAATCTGGGGAAGATTGGAGAGATGACCCTAGTCGCATCTCCACTTTGCCGATCCTCGCATTCGACAGCTTACTCCAGCATGAAGAAGAACCCTCCTCTGCATACCGAGAATGATGGCAGTCCTAACCAGCATGAAGCGATATTGCTAGAGCGTGCGCATGCTGCTAATGCCGCTGACCATGCTCTCACCTGGTGGAAAGCGATATTCAAGTACCGGAAAGCCGTCTTCTGGGCGTGCATTTTTTCGTTCACCCTGACTATGCAATCGGCTGATGCGACCTCAGTGAGTTTGATTACAGTGCAAGGAAGGCCTTTTTAGGTGGGGGTGCTGATCAAAAACAAGACTACTTCTTTCTACGGTCAGACCCAGTTCAAAGAGAGATTTGGCACCGTGGACAATGGTGTCCTTGAAATATCAGCCGAGTGGCAAACGGGAATCCAGCAGGCAATGGCCGTGGGCGAGCTGATTGGTCTTGCAGTGGCTGGCTTTATGGCTGACCGATTTGGTTGGAAGCCGATCCTCAGTAGCATGATGGTCTGGCTTACCGGTAGCCTCTTCCTTTTTGCTTTTGCACAAAACCTGGGGATGATGGTAGCTGCCATGGTTCTTTGCGGTAATTCTTAATCATTCTACTCCGCTGCAAAGAGACTAACGGCCAAGTTAGGGATTCCGTGGGGCGCCTTCCAAACAGGTTGCATTGCCTACTCTTCTGAGATGGTCCCAACTTGTCTCCGCCCTTTCGTCACGGCATGGATAGGCATTTGCTGGGGACTTGGCTTCTTTATTGGCTCATTGGTCAACAGAGGCTGTTTGAATCTGATCGGACAGTGGGGTACGATCCCCTATTATCATTCAATCAATTGGAGCTTCCAGTAACACAGAGTTAATTCAGCCTGGCGTGTGCCCTTCCTTGTTCAGTTCGTGTGGCCCCTTCCCCTCCTCATCTGCTTCCTTTTGGCCCCGGAATCTCCATACTATCTAGTTCGCAAGGGTCGCTATGAGGACGCTCGCACGACCCTGCGCCGCATCCGGCAAAAGGATATAACGGACGAGGAGATTGAGCAGTCCATCGCCCTAATAGACTATACCAACAAGATGGAAGTTCAGATTAAAGAGTCTAGTAGCTACGCCGAGTGCTTCCGGGGCAAGAATCGATGGCGGACAGAGATAGTAAGTGGCAATCGGTATGCTGAATTACCTCAAGAGATGTTCACAATCAGAAGGTCTGTGTAGTTCAGATAGCCCAAACCTGGGGCGGCAATGGCATCAATGTACAGACGGTTCAGTTTTTGGAGCAGGCAGGCCTTTCGGAGCAGGGCGCCTTCGATCTGAATTTGATTCTCAACTCCCAGTACCTCACCTTTGGCTTGTTCTGCATTTGGCTGATGACGAAGCTTGGGCGAGCAACTATCTTCACCACAGGCCTCATTCTAAGTGACGTGTTCTTGTTTGCCATCGGAATTCTTGGTTGTGTCAAACAAAGCACGGCTGTCTCTAATGCGGTTGGCTCTCTTCTTCTCGTGTCCACTGTAATATATATTTCAACCGTCGCTCCGTCTTCATACACCATCATCGTGAGTCGCGCGGATACACATTCAGGGACAAGTGTTGACGTAAAACAGGGTGAAGTGCCGTCGAGCAAACTCAGAGCTAAAATGGTCTCCCTCGCCCGAGTTGCCTTCAATGTTTCCAGTCTGATTTCAAATGTTCTACTTCCCAAGATGCTGACCGGCGGGTCTTGGAACCTCGGCGCTAAGACAGCCTTTATGTTTGTTAGTGTCCTTACCCCTGACCTTTCTCCTGTTGATTCCAGCTGATGTCGGTGACAAAGGCCGGTACGAACGCTTTGATTTGGATCTGGTGCATATTTCGTCTTCCCGAAACCAAAGATCGAACCTTCCGCGAGATTGATTATCTTTTTGAAGAGTCCGGACTACACCCTCGCCAGTGGCGTACGGCTAGAATTGATGTTTTCGATGATGATAATAATGGCCCTAGCCTTGTTAAGGGCGATAAGGAGAAGGAATTTCAGCATGTCGAGAATGCTCTGTAGGAATGGCGGCAAAGGACGCCTAAATGAACATGTGATTGGCTCGGAAGGTTATTGCGGGTGAGAGCGTGGTAACTCGGGGGTGGAAATGATGTATATTCGTGATTCTCCGCATCAGTGTCTACAGTCGTGAGCTTAGTGTACGCAGAGAAGCCAGAACTGGACATTATGCATCACAGTCAATAATTACACCTAGTTATGACCCAACATAGTGACGCCATCACACTATATTTTATTTTTTATGCCGGAACGAATGTTATCACAACTTTTGGTGCTAGCGCCAAACGCTGACAGTTTTATGCATATTCTTTATACTAATGTTGCTTCATTCATTTCTGAAAGCTATAGTATATGCAAAGGCTTCACCTATGTTTATTGTATAATGAAAGGAGATCTGGGTTTTTGATTACACCCCCTTTTCAATGACAAGTTACGGCTTACGACTGTAAGTAGTATCTGATCAGCAAGCGGAGTCGGTGACGTTATATGTTCGTAAAGCCGCGAGCAACACATATGAAGAGCTCAGTTGAGGGTATCAATTTTATAGACTATTCATATTAACAAACATGTTTACCCGGGCTCGGTAGTAAGTCCTACGTGCGCTAGGCTAATTTGATTTGCAGATAAATTGCGTCTACCAGGCCTTCTGAGATCGAACATAGCTTGTCCAGAATTGTTCGTTTTCCGGGTCCGTGGTTCGTATTGTCTGCCACTCCCCACCTAGCTCCAACAAAGTGTGGGGGTGGTCAATGAGGTTTGGCCAGAAAGCAACGCCTTCCGGACCCTTATTCTCCCCAGGAGGACCGTTTGGATTGCCGTGTTTGACAAAGTTGGCCCAAAGTGTGGACACTTTATCGCCGACAATGCGATCGGTGTTGCTCCAGGATCGGAGGTTATTAGTAGTGAGGCTGTTAAACGTGTATGCAAATTCCGCACCATGATAAGCCCCCGTAACAGGGCCTTTCTGGTTTGTAAATCCAGGAACCTTTGGCTGCGAGTAATCAGGCTGCCAGTTGTTCCAGGGGGGGATGGGATGGGTGAAGTAGTACCCGTACACGGGCGAGGCTGTTTTCTGATGATACTCCTGGGCCCAGAGCGCGATATTGTTGCGCGTGTTATCCCGAGCAGCCCTATTCCACGCGTCCAGAGGACCCTTCCCGGTTTCATGGTCTGTGGGGGTGTAGAGTTCAAGGAATCGTTTCACCCACTTCGAGTCGCCTTGACCATATGTCGAATGCGGTCCAAAACGACTCTCAACACATTCAACGAAGTCATCGTACGTGAAGCGGCGCTCATTGTAGGTACCGCCCTCTTCGCTGTTCATGCCAGCTAGGATTGGGACGTCATTAGACGGACCCTCTGCGAGCATCTGGTGCCAGGGCTTTGGGATGACATGTCCATCGAGGGTCAACCGAAATAGTGGCGGGGGCCCCCAGCAGCGATGATCTCTTCGGGTGGACAACTCGCACAGCTTGTCTATGTCATTGAATTCCCGGAGTTCTTCGATTGACTGCAACCCCAGCTCCCTGAGCAGCTGCACGCCATCCTCCTCTGCCTGCTGTAGGGTACGATATGACATGGGCCCATTAGCCACGGCCGGCTCCTGAAGTGACCGAGGTCCGGACTGCAGAATAACACCATGAAGGAGATTTCTCGCCAGAGGCGACACAAGCAGGGTGTGACACATGGCATTACCTGCTGACTGTCCTCCTATTGTCACTTGGGTGGGATTTCCCCCAAAGGCTGCAATATTAGACTGCACCCAGCGAAGCACCTCGATCGCATCGAGCATGCCCATCATTCCGGACGTGCCTGACGGAGACTCGGCGCTCAGTTCTGGATGGGCGTAATAGCCGAAGATGGCTAGTAGGTTTAACGTCAGCACTCGCGGATAACTGCCTTATCTCAAGAAATATTCAGGCTTGCACTTACAAAGTCGGAATGAAGGAACCACAACAATAAGGCCCTTCTTTGCGAGAGCCGTGCCATCAAAGTTAGGATCGGCACTGCCACCCTCCCGAAAGCCACCTCCATGGAACCAGACGAACACAGGATATGGCTTCTCATGCGCTTCACCGGGCTGGAACACGTTGAGGTAGAGACAATCCTCAGACTGCGGATGACCTTGGAGAACATTGATCCAGCGGGGGTCAGGGGGTGCCTGTGGACAGAGGGGCCCGATCTGATGGCATTGCTTGACCCCATCCCACGGAATTACAGGCTGTGGAGGTTGGAATCGACGGGGCCCAGTGGGCGGAGCGGCATAGGGGATCCCGAGGTAGAGGGTGATTGAGGCATCCACGTCACTTGTCTTGCCCTCAATCAGCCCTCCATTCACGACAACTGGCGGCAACGAGGAAGGCATGTTGATGTATGTATCTCTATCCCAAGGGAAGTGCAGTGATAGTAAGACAATAAAGGCCCGGCTTGTACCTTTGGCGCCGTCGTTTGACAGAAACTACACCTAGGAAGCCCCGTAATAAAAGTAAAGCAAGATTGTCTACTAAGCCAGACGCTCGGACGCATTGACCGGTTCCGAATCGCCAGACCAAGCTTTGATGTCCCCCGGACTAATTCCCCCGCACTTGATCGGGTCTTATAAAGCTTCAGCCGACGCTCGCCTCTGCCATGTTTCAACATGTCTTCGTCCCCTCCCCTCTCTTAGCCGGGCAACGGTAAACAAGCTGAACTCACTCGCCTGTTTCCCGTTCACACCAGATCCCATTCAGAGCTTGCATTTTGTACACCAGCAGGTGAGATAGCCGCCTGTCAGCTGCCGCTGGTCACGCTAATGCAACTCAGCGAGACCTCCGATCTGTGTCCGATACTACGGTGCGAGTCATGCCAGAGCCATCCCAGTAGCGAAAGCGGGCCAAGACCGGTACGTTCCTCGCTATAGACCAGAGCATGACCCAGGCGGCCACTGATACACCAGCTTATGTCGCACACAGGCTGCTTGACCTGCCGTGCCCGCAAAGTCAAGTGCGACGAGACTCGGCCGCGGTGCAATCACTGCCGCAACCTCGGGGTGGAGTGCCGCTGGCCCGAACCCGCAGCGAAGCGTTTCTGTCGCATCTCAACGCCGCCCTCCTGCAACAGTCAGGGCCCTCAATCGATCGCCACGGGAGGGCCGCGATTGTCTGCATGCTTCCCTTGTCGTTATGCCCGCTCGAAATGCTCCAAAGATCGACCGACGTGCGCCCGCTGCCGTGCTCACCAACACGAATGCAAGTATCCCGAGCCCCAGCGGTCCCACGCCCTCACATCCTCGGCGCAGTCCTGGATGAGGAGACTCCAAACGGCGGAGCTGGGCAACGCCGCCGAACTCTCGCGTCCGGAGATCCTCACCAGCCTCACCAGCTCACCAGAGCCGGAATCTGCTCCGTCACATCCCGAGATTACCGATGGTCAACGGCCGGAAATGCCGCCAGGCGATGCCAGTCCCCCAGAGACGTCTGATAGGTTGGATGATGCTGTTTCCGCTCTTTGTGAGAGCCAGTCATCTCCAACACAAGTTACAGCAGGTGCAGTCGTGACACTGAGCCCGCGCAGAAGCTTTCTACCCAGCCAAGATAGTATTGAGCGTCTTGCGGTCGCCTTCTTCCGACACGTCCATGTCTACCGGGCCAACGCCTTCCTGCATCGTGATCAGACCCTGATGGCCATCCGCGACGGCACATTCTGTGCCCCGGTCGTCCTGGCCCTGTGTGCCGTCGGGGCGCGTTTCACCTCTCCGCCCCAACCAGACGACGTCGTCATCAGCTGGGCCACCGAAGCGGCCAACTGGGTCACAACAGCGACCGAGGTCTCACGGGACCACGTTGTGGTCGCCCTTTTACTTGCTATCTACATGCAGCAAGCTGGTCGATTTGCCCAATCTCACCTGTGGTCGGCCATTGCCAATACCCACGCCGTCAGCCTGGGTCTTCATCGCGAGTCGGCACCCGGCACCTCTTCTTTTGTGGAAAGTGAACGCGACCGGCGCCTATTTTTCGCCTGCTATGCCATTAGCCGTTTCATATCCAATGGCGCTCCCGAGTCAATCCAATGCCCTGCGTCTCGTATCAACTTGCGGTTGCCATGCGACGGCTTTAATTACCGTCTTGACGTGAGCATCGAGACGCCTTATGCGACTCTCGAGGCAGACGAGCCAGAGCCGCCCGGCCCAAACAGCATGCAGCGAAACGTTGGCGCCATGGGATTTTGGGTGCGACTGGTTAGCGTGAGGATGAAGATTAAGCGCTACTTCCATTCCATGACGGAGGACAGGGAAGAACGACACGCACATCAGCAACCCAGTGCCATTGGCACGACACTTGCCCCATGGGGCGCTTCCTCTCCATTCGTGGTGTGCTTGGCACAGTTGGCCTCCCTATCCGAGTCTTTGCCCCCCCGGCTTCAGCTCTCCCCCGAGTTAGTGCTTCGACAGCACGATGCTCCTGTTTTGGGCCAGATTGTCATGTTCTACCTGTGGTGGAATGAATGCCACCTTGAGCTTTATAGCATCGCTCTTCACGGATATCCCCAGTCCCTGGATCCTACCGTCATGTCAACCGCGCCGGCTGGCTGGATTGACCAGGCCCGTCATAACTGCTTGCGGCACGCCCAGGCTATCACGGATATTTTAGACCTTGTGGATCGGGAAATGCCTCGCCAGCCGCTGACCATCTCGGATCACACCATTGCGCACGTGGTTTATTTGTCCGTGCGGGTACAATTGGAGCTCCTGATGCCGACACTCAAGGATGGCGGAATGCGTCTTGAATTAAAGAAAAGATTTGACATGATGCTGGGCTTTGTAGAAAGAACAAGTAAATATTTCCATCAGGTGTCCCTGGTCGTAAGTGCTTCTCCACGCTTCTGCTGTCAGGTGTTGAGAAGGCGCCGAGAAAACCTGATGCTTTGAAACCCTAACATTCCCCAGCTTCACGAGATGCGCCGTATGTTGGCATGCCACGAGCTTGCCTCAAGAACCTTCGACAGCGAGGATGCGTAAGTCAGACAATCACGTCTGCCCCAGTCGTCTTCGACCCCTCCCCCACCTACCCCCCGGTCCAGGCAGCATCTAATACTGTGCCACTCCTGATGGGTCGATTAGATTATCTCAGACAGCATCTTTGCCTTGGTTCTGCCGTCAAAAAGCACTTGATTCCAGGAGAGCTGCTGAGCAAGCTGGTATAGTGAGTCTCAGCTACTGCTGCCTGAACAAAGACCCGAGGCTTTGCTAACTTGTGGGACGCGTATCTCTCTATCAGAACGCAGCGCACTTCGAAGTAGATCTCGCCGAACTTCTGCCTGATTGCATCCCATTTGGCACTATGTCGTGGATCCGGGGCTACGACGTCAATGACCCTTGCCGACTTGTAGGTTCCCCTGGCTTGAAAGGAACTCTGCTGCTGCACCTGATCTCCTTATTGACAAATTTGCCTCTGTCCGTCTAGCCCGAAACAGCAGAATCATCATGGGATATTTTGCCCAATCTGTGGATGGGAGCCCCGCCCACTGGGCAAAGCACTAACAACCCTGTTACAGCCGTGAGTGATTTTAGCAGCCTCGGTATCTTCAATACCTGGGGACGGATAGACCCCAACGGGACTGTGAGTTTCCTCCCATTAACATGGGTTACGCTGCAGGCGACAGGAAGAGCTGATGACATCAGCAGGGGTCTCGTTTTGATCCACTGCTTCCTAGTCACTCTTTCGCGCATCCAAGTGCAACGGGAACCTGTGGAACTTCATCCGTCATTTCTTCGGACGCTCCCTTTTCTTTAGATCCATTGGACACATAGGCAGTTCTGGGCAATCAAGCGTGGATCTAGCAGCATATGGATCTCATTCAAATTACAAGCTCTATCTGTGGGAACGGCCTTGTTTTGTTTTGCATGGAAGAGCTGATTGACAAAGGTTTCTATGGTGATATGGAAAAGCACCCTTGCACCTCTGTAGGTCCCTTCTGGGAGCGTTGTCACACTTAGTAGCGATTAGGTCTCCACAAATTCAATACCATTGATTCTTAGATCTCTCTATCTACTTTTACAATATTCCCGTTCTTGTATTTAAATGGGAGGGGCTAGTTCCCGCGGTCATGGTTTTCATTCGGGTGGTCATAATGAGTAACGGTTGCTACAACTGGCACTGGGCGCATAGACCAGAGAATAAGCAGCCCAACCAAAAGGGGACCATCGTCTAAATCCCGTCTGACTTCTATACCCAGGCAGGGACTCGGGTATTACGGGGGAAAGCTTGCATTGGAGCCGACATGAAGTAAACCGCGACGTCAGCTGGCGACGGTCGCCTCTGGTTCTCTTCCAGATTGAACGGTGAATCTGCATTGAAGCTCAACCGTAGCCTCTTCAATCCCGCTACTGCATGAAGTAGCGTTTATATAATTCTTTTCTACTGAGGCTAGCCGGCAGAGGAAAATGGGTTGAAGGGTGATCACGAGCAAGCTGTTCCCCTTGAGACTATGGCAAGCGACCGGAAGTCAACCACGGTGATAACCGCCCCAGGCAACTGTGACAGCCTTGGGATACACCCTCATCCGTCACCTACTGACTATGATGTGAATATTGTGCTTGGCCCTGTTGCGTCAACATACGACAAGAGCTCTTCAGACGAAAAACATGCCGACGGCGACAACCACATGAGGGGCCGGCGTTCGGTGACATACGGGCCAGGCAAAGAACTTCAGACGCAAACAAACCTATTGCCCATGAAGCAGTTGCTTGTGGTCTTCTCTGGCCTATCAGTAGCGATGCTATGTGAGAGGATACCGCTCCAACCTAGGGATGCCGGCGAGCTCACCTGACTGACTTGTATATAAATTCCACAGGCTCCATGCTCAACCAGACTATGTACCATTGCTACATCCCTCCCATATCCGGGTACTTGTTTTTCCGCCCTAACTTACAGACTCTCTGAAGCGTTGCAACTGCCCTGCCCACCCTTGGTGCTGTATTCAACCAAGCTGATATCGTTTCCTGGGTTGGTACCGCGTACCTCCTAACTTGTACGGCATGTCAACCATTATATGGCCGGTTGACGGACATCTTTGGCCGGAAGGTAAGTCTCCCAGACGCGGGAACTAAGCAGTCCTATCTCTTATGCAGCATTTGACGGAGCATTAAACTCCAGTTGATTCTTTTGGGCTCGCTCTTCCTTTTCCTGATAGGAAGTGTCATTTCCGGTGTCTCAAGGGGCATGATCATGCTGATCATAGCGCGTGAGTCATGGTAACTGAATTGATCCTGCCGGCCTCCACGCTAATACCATTCAAAATCAGGGGCGGTGGCGGGAATCGGTGGTGGAGGCATTGTTACCGTGGTCAGTATCGTCGTGTCTGACGTTGTGTCTCTTCAGGACAGAGGGAAGTATCAAGGGATTATCGGAATTGTCGTGGCAGCCGGAACTGCCCTGGGCCCTTTGATTGGCGGTCTTTTCACCGAGAAGGTTTCCTGGAGGTGGTGTTTTGTACGTTCTCTCCGGCATACCTGTTTTGGATGACCATCGCTAAGCGTTACTAGTACATCAGTGTGCCCTTATCCGGGGTTGCTATGGTTGTTGTTGCCTTTGCCCTACCCCTCCGGAAGGTCGAAGGCCACGCGTTAGAGAAGATCAAGCAGATTGACGGCTGGGGATGTTTGATCAGTTTCTCTGCGTCAATTGCGATCTTGCTTCCTATTTCATGGTATGCCCAACAGTTCTTCCACTCACCCTTAGCATGGTTCCTCCCGGGGTATGATAATCACTCACAATTTTCCAGGGCTGGCACCCAGTATCCTTGGACTTCGGCGGCTGTTCTAGCACCACCCCTTTTACTCGGTGTAGCGCTCATTGGAGTCTTTCTCTTTGTCGAGTTCAAAGTGGCCAGGTTGCCCTTGTAAGATGTGCCTTGGTTAACGAAGATCACCAGTTATTGCGTGTGACACTGACCTTTCCCTGCAGGATACCACGTTAGTATCCGCCGCCTCTTCCACCATTGTTCGCCGTTGTTCATGCATGGCTGATCTCTTCTCAGTGAATATGTTCAATAACTCGCACGTCTCCATCTGTATCCTGACATCCTTCCTCACCGGATTCATGACTTTTGTTAACCTCTACTATGTTCGACTTCCCCCAGGTCTTCTTCTATGTTCCCATCTCATACTAACAACCCGCTTCAGCTGCCCCAATTTTATCAAGTCGCCCGGGGCGACTCCGCGCTCCGATCGGGTATCCTGATTCTTCCACTAATCCTCTCGCAGATTGTCACGTCATTTACCTCGGGCTTCTTGGTGTCGAAGTACTCATGTTATCGAATAAACCTCATTATTGGTTATGCTCTTTGGACAATTGCGTCCGGGTTGTTCACAATGGTCACACCATCAACATCGGCAGCGGTACTGGTGGTCTTCCAGCTACTGACGGGGCTCGGCAGTGGGCAGACACTTCAGACAACCTTGGTTGCTATTCAAGCCGCAGTCAAGAGGGAAGAAATGGCGGTCATCACTGGTGCTCGTAATTATCTACGAATGATGGGCTCGACTTTGGCTGTTGCGGCCAGTGCGGCTATTGTCAACAACATTGTCCGGTGAGTGAAGAATGAATCCACCCGAGCATCACTACCTTGCTTTCATATTATTCTTTCTCCTCTAGCACTTGGCTCCCAGGCCAGCTCTGTTGACAGGGATGGATAGGACGAAGCTCGAGGGAATCAACTTTGCGCGATCAATCATTTCCGAAATCATCGCCGATCCCACAAAAATCGCCTCCATGTCACTATCCGCGGCACAAAAAACGGACGCACTGAATGCGTACGGTGCGTTGCCCCTCACCTCCATCGTTCTTTACCCACCTTCTCCATTTACATCCTAACCAACCATATGTCCAACGTCTTTTGTTTGGCGGGCCGGCTTAATGACTAATTCTTTGCCGAGACAGCCCACGGAGTGCAGGTCACATATTACATGATGACTGCCCTAGCCGGCATTCAATTCTTTCTCTGCGTTTTTTTCGTCAAGGACTACACATTGGAGAGAGACGATGACCAACAGCAAAAGGAGGCCGCTAGAGCTTGGCTGACGCAGAAAAAGAACAAGAGGACTGGCGGTAACCACAATGCAGAACCATCAACTGCCGAAGCTCGACAGCACGTTGAGGACAAGGTCTAGAGTTACTAGAGATATATGTCAGCAAATTGTATTCTGTCCAGGGCGCTGTTTTCCTGAAAGCATCTAAAATAGTTCTATAGTTGGGTTCTACGACGTAATACTTGTCAAATCAAGTGACATTTTGAACCATTTCATTCTATCATCTTTCCGGTTAAGAATTGGTGTAGCTTTATGTTATTACGACAATCAAAAACCAACATTCTTGTTTATTGACGTAAACAATTTATATAGCTCTACACTGAACAGATGATTTGATGCAGTTATATCTGATGGTGTTACTAATTAAAAGTACGTAGCCTGATGCACTGATCACCGACAGTGTCACGGAGAAAATCCCCGTACGGCTTGCACGCGATAACAAAGTGGTATTGCATGACATGCTTCATTCATAGTGGGGTACTTTTAAATGCTTGTAGACGATAAGGCAGTAGGATTTCAAGACTAAGGTACTAGTACTACTCAAAATAGAAGGGCTCAGCACGCCCCAGGATCAGGCCTCAATAACTTTTGCCCGTGCGTTCCACCAGAACTGGAGACCTTCGTTGTTCAGGCCGCCCAGAACATGCTCTGCGGTGTGGGGAGCTCCCGGGACAATAGCTTTCATATATGGCACGCCCAGAGCATCCAAGCTGGTCCACATGTGCTCGTGTGCTTCACGTAGTCTAATGTCCTCGCCGCCAATGAGCAGCCGCAGCTCCGGCTTGTCGCGATGGACCCGAGGGAGGATGGCCTTCAGCAGCGTGAGAGCATGATTGGAAGTGAAAAAGGCCTGCGAGCCGTTGTAAGTGTCGTAGGTGACCTCGAGGCCTTCCTTGGCTAATTCGGTTCGGAATGAGCCAGCAAGCGACGACAAGGCGCCTCCGAAAACATCGGGATACTTGAGACCGAGGTTAAAGGCACCATAACTGGTCAACTGTTTTTAGTAAAAGAAACGTTCTACGGGTGTTCGGCCACCTACCCGCCCGCTGAGTGACCCTCTAGCCAACGTGCTGATGGATGCCTAATGGTCCTGTACCGCTCATCAATAGCTGTGACGAGATCATGGCGCATGATGTCCCCAAGGCGACGGCTGCCGTCGTAACTGTTGATCCAGCGGCCTTTTGGCAATGACTATGAACGGTATCAGCAAGGGTATGGATAACAATAATCTCTTTCCTCCAATTACGCCACTCCGAACGTACCTGCGGTGCCACCAGAATTACCTTGGGCATGGTGCCCAGCTCCATTTTGCGTGCATAGAATTGGAGGGACCACATCGCATGGCGCGAGCATGAAAAGCCCCCATGAAGCCAGTATAGTACGGGGTATCGCTCGCCGTTTACATCACGATCATCGTAGCCCGGTGGTAGGACGACCAGATAGGAACCCTGCGCTCCAGGACCGCGCGTTGGTTGGCTGTAGAGCTCGTAAATAACATTTTCTGGAAGTTCCCACACGTCTGTGTCAATCCACATGTGGTTGTAGCAGTCCAGAAGGTGCTTTGGCGGAGTCCACCGGCCTGTAAAATTTGGTGTAAGCTTGCTCAACCATTACATCTAAATTTCCGGGGCGACTCACCACCGTATACGGGGATCGGGGGATAAACTTCGTCTGATTTGTCGGCAACAGTCATTTTGGGTATCCTGGCCTGAAGAAAGCTAAATATGGTGCATTGGCTTGATGAACCAAGCAACAGGCCTTATAAATATAGTGGTGGGGATCGGGGGAGGATAAGCCGTAACAACTACCGGAGTGCTTCGCGAATGTCGCCTGTATAGGCGATGTTCGCCAGTTCCCTTTCGACGGTCGCGTGCACGTCTTGGCTCGAGCGACTCTACTCAATATTGCTTAAGACGTTCGTGAAAAAAAAAAAAAAAAAAAAATATAGGAGGAGAAAGGAATCTTTCTTCATTTCCTCAATTCAACCACAGGCCCGGTTTCAGCGGTCAAGAATAGCGGCGCGAGTGTGGACAACCCATTCTTGCTCGCCATTCTTCGGGAAACCTTTCACCAATCCACATACCCTTTCCCCTCACTTTATGGTGGAGAAGTCACGTTGTTGATAGCCAAAGGTTCCCTGGGCATGCTATAGAAAGCAGCCGGTCACTGGTCATATAATTGTTTTCTCTTATAACTAGTTGCTTGATATACTTGGTGGGAGGGTATTATCAGGTATATATTAAGCGGTGCTACTGCGGGCACCGTCATCTGGCCCAAATTGTAGGACCCAGTAAATACATTAGATTATTATGGGATACATTAATTCATTGGACATAGAATCAGGGGTTTTCTGTGACGTGATGGATGATAGTATAAGAAGAAAGAGTGGCTGTCAGGGTATCAGACTAGGACATGAGCATTTTGGACACGGCTCGAGAGATCAGTTCGCCCGACCAATCTCATCATCCTGGTGATGAGATGGCGCTTCAGGGGCAGTAGTCGTTGTTGGCGGCGGCACAGTGGCTTCTTGTGGGTGCGTGACTGGGGTGGAAGAAACGATCGCCATTTCGGGATCAGCTGAAGTAGAAGCTGGAGCAGCAGCAGCAGCAGCAGCAGCAGCGGTGGGTGCAGAGGCTGATCCTGGCCGCGATTGTGGCGCCACGCTGGGCGAGGGACTGGGCTCCAACAGTCGAGGACCGGGATTCTTTGCTGGCTGCTTGCTAGTCTTGACCCGGGCAGGTGCAGGACCCAACACCGGCGGGTATTTGTACCGGAATCCCCAGACGAAGAAGAGACGCAGCTTAGTCCAGAACCCCATTGCCTTCCACCGCTTGCGAAGGACCTCCCCATCTGCATCGGTGCGTGCTCGATAACCCTTCCGGAAAAAGCATAGCAGTAACAGAGTGAAGGGGAGAATGGTCAGTGACCAGCAGACGGGGAGACCGCGACGTGTTTGCCAGCCCATCATCAGGCGGCGGAACCGAATCCACGCTTCCAGGAAACCTAAAATCAAACAGAGGCCGATCCAGCCAAGTGTCAAAATAAGGGTGAGGGCCAACGGGGAAATGCCCATGTAATAATCGTCTGTGAACCAGTTGTAATCGTCGTCATAGCCGTAGTCACCGTAGTACGAGCTGCCGCCGTAGTAGCCGTTCCCGTTGCTGCCCGTGTAGGCACAGCTGGAAGCAGTGTACAATGAGGTAGGCCGGTTGTACAAGCTCATCGACTCTAGTGAGCTCGTGGGGATCTGCGTCGGATCAACATAGACAATGTCGATGGTGTAGGTCGTGGGCTGAAAAGGCCTCGAGGAATCGACCGAGATCGATGTAGCAACAGCCGTGCGTGGGAGCAGATCCTGGACCTCTGTGGGCGGAACAACCTCGACGGCTGTTGTTTGGGTCCAGCGAGACGAGCAACCGGTGGGCGCTGAATAAGTCATGTTGACAACGAACTTGGTGCTGTGGTAGATATCATCGTCGTCATAGCCATAGCCGTAACCGTAGTCGTAATCATCAACCACGGATCCGACGCCTGTGGGGTAAAGCTGTTGAATGATAGTCACATCCTTCTCGGCGTCTTCATCGTCGTTGTAGTAGTAGTAGTAGTTTGAAGAGCCGAGGGAGGTGGCGGTTGAGACGGCCTCGGGCATGGACGTGACGGTGGGAGTGATTTGCTCAACGAGAGTGGTGGTGTATGTTGCATAGTAATGCCGTTCAGTGGTGACCACCTCCTGGTAGTCCGCAGTGACAATCCATGGGGCAGCAGAAACGAAAGAAGACAGTTGGAACAGTAGCAGAAGGGAGAGGACCCCCGAAAACGAACGTGAGGTTGCCATCTCGGACGGACAGCCGAGGATAATGATGGTGAAGGGAGGGAGCGAGGGAGAATCCGGACGAGAGCAGTCCAGAGACCGTGGTGGCCATGAGTGCTTTACTATAATTACCTTGAGGCTCGAGCCTCATATGACTCCACGTAGGAACTGGTGGAAATTGCTGCATCTTGATAGATTGCCTCCTCGGGTAATTGATTGGCAGGGTTTCGAAAAAGGGTCCGGACTGGAGCCATTTGGAGGGTTTAGCGCCGGCGCTAAGACTCACGCTTTTTTTTCCTTCAGAATTTCAACAGGGTCCAGCAGGGCAGAATTTGATCCCAAGTCCTCTCTCGCAATTAATTTTGCTCTTGAACGGCTCACACCCTTTCCTTTTATACGACTCTACGCTCAATAACTGTCCATGAATATCATGGACTCAGACAAGAGTCGCATTATGTTCGGACGCCTTCCTTTTGCGTGGCAAACCTTGCTGGGGGCGAGAACTGTTAGCGCCGTTGCTCTCGACACCCGATCATGTTCACGGTCGCAAAGAGTCTAGTCCAGGCCACTAGATCAAACAGACTTCGACGGCTTGTTCCGCTAATCCTCCAGCGTTGCCTGGCTGGCCCCTGGTGCCTAAGTATCTAGCTTCCTCGTGATAGTGCCCCCGGTCGAGAATTCGGATGGGGTTCGTATTCCTTGCGGTTGAATCCGCTCCTCGGACAAGCCACGCCGAGGGTTGAACCCTGTGCTAAAAGAGCCCAGCCAATTGAAAGACTCAATGCGCTGTGTTTTGTCCATGAACAGCCATGAAGCTATGCAGATATTTCATGCCTCTCGATATCCGTGGCCATCTGCCTGTGGGTAACGAACTCGAGAATTATTGAGCTGCCTTCCATCAGACCAATCTTCCTGGTCGATGTGAAAACTATTCAATTTCCTCATTCCTGAGGTCCTACGCCGAGGGTTCCTCCACGATTTATCCGCAATATGAGTGGCGTAACATTCGGGTAATTAGAGTCCTAAATATCGCCTGCGGTCTAGCTATTCTATCGACAAACTCCATCGAAAAGACCAGCAGCAAGTTGGATTGGCCTTCAGATCGTCTCTCCAGAACATATCATGGCTTGAATCTCAGGCCCATCTTGTTTGAGCGCGGGTAGATTGATACAGCCATGTTGTAGAGAGTATCACAATAATCATCGGTTACAAAGGCATTTGTCGAAAGTCAAGTCACTTGTAAACCAGTATCCATTGTTGCACGTGTCTTTTTCGGATGCAGTTGTCACACCACTACTGATCCGGTGACCGCAAACCCTTGCACAATGTCCACCATAGCCTCAATGCCGGCGGAGACATCGAGCTGCTGGTCTAGAACATCAATTCCGATAGAGAGCTTGACGTTGGCAAAGTGGTTAAGCTCCGTACACATCTTGAAAGGGAGACTGGCAGATGTATTGTATGTGGGACTCCATCTACAGGTCGTCATCCCACTGCTGTCGAGGTCCAAATATACTTCATTGTCAGAGATCTGGGAAGACACGTCCGCTGTTACGTTTGCCTCGCCGGTGGTAGTAAATGCCACTCCAACCCGAAACGTGAGTGCTGGGCTGATGCTGAGCATTCTAGCAATCTTGAATGCAGATACCGATATGGCATGTAAACATAAAATCCCAGAGCATCATAACATCCGTTCCACCATCCTGGGCTGTGATGTTTACATCGGCAAAGACTGCTAGGTCCATCTACAGGTACAACAAGGTCTTGGCAGTGAGTTTGACGATATCAAAATTAGTTTTGCTCCTCAGATTATGTTCATGCCCAGATTCAGTTCCTGGATGTCAACGGTGTGGTGGAGAGACTTGATAAAATTCCTGAATCTTTCACGTGAAAACCATGGCCAAGTCGTGGTTTCTGGCAATCATGGTTATGCAATTGAAGACTGCAAAAATAAAATCTGCTTTATTCCGGATGCTGCTCTCAGTTGCTTCTGCGGTGATAGTCTATGAGCTGTTGCTATATGTGAGAGTGCTGACCACATACACTCCCTGAGTGTTTTCGCTGTCACGGTCGCTTATGTGCTTGTGAGAATGATATTGTGTGATGATGGCCATTCGGAGATGCTATCTTCATAGTCACTTTCACTACTGCAGGTGAATCCTACCGCTTCCGTTGAGCATTCGGCGCTTGTATTGAAGTTGTTGTCGCCGAGGATGACAGTTGAATATCATCCCTTCATTTGCCGCAGCTGCGGCCGAGAATTGGCGCCCTGTTCCATAATACGGGGATATGTTGCGTTCTGGCATTATACTACCCAGCACCGTTTCTTTCCTACAGGTAATGGGATACAGCGTCCGGGTTTCGGCTGTGGAAGCCATGGTCAGGGGAAGAGTGACTGAGATCTTAAAATGCGATGCCATATTGGCAGGTTTTATTTTTACACTATGGAGGTAACTCCCTTACTGATGGCTGCGAGCATCTGATAATCTCGCCGGTCCTTTAACAAGAAAGTGGTCCTTGACATATCAACACTAAGCATGGCGCTCGGTGCTTACGCCACGGAGGGCGAATAGCATTGGCTTGTGTCGGTGCTGTTTTAACATCCTTAGTCCTCTCGAATCATGCCAGATAGGCCATGTTCCAGGGACCTTTGACATGATTGGCGGCCGTGGTCACCTCGCTGTTACGAACTGCCGCATGTCTGCTCCATGTAGGCAAGTAGTCAGGACGGGTGGAGGAGAAATATTAGCATCACCCACTTAGGAACGGCTCCATGCAAGAGAGCGAGCAATGATGCAACCTGTATTTAGGTTTCTGCACGCTGGTCCTTCTGTAAGGCTGATACGACGCTGTGATGGGCGGGGTCAGAACTTCAACCTGTTGACCAATTCTTTGTTCCTACAGTGCAAACATTCTCTAGCATAATGAATGTAATAGGTATTAAAAAAATCATATCGCCGACAGTAATCGACTGTGTGCGACCTAGAGCCCCTAGAGCCTTGAGCAGATATGGATTCTCTACCCCCTCCCTTTTATTGTCTTGTACATCCACGGACTCCTTATCGCCTTGGAGTAATGCCTTTCATATCTTCAAAAATCATCCCTTTTGGCCTGGGTTGGGATGTTTCAGGGCAGAGACTTCGCTTTTAGACACTAGGACACTGAATATTGTGACCACATTGTCTCGTGTGACGTGCCTGCTTGCCGGGTAAGGTTTCTCCCGGGAAAGTATGAAAGTCACGAGTGTGGTAATATCTCGTTCTAATATCATAACTTCTATCTGCAACGCATTTGGTGTTCCCCTAAAACTCTTCAGATTAATGGAAGCGCTCTTTTCCAACCCAGTATCTTTTTGCTCTCTAATCCAGCTTGACTAGTGATTGCACGGGCCGATTTTTTGTTTTTGTACACTCTTTCCATTTCTCTTGTTTTCTTATTACACTTTTTTTTTTTTTTTTTTTTTTTTTTTTTTTTTTTTTTTTTTTTTTTTTTTTTTTTTTTTTTTTTTTTTTTTTTTTTTTTTTTTTTTTTTTTT